ATCACTTACCCCTACTATATCACCCTATATAACCTACCTCCTATACTCTACTACCTATATACCCCCTCCACATACTAATATAATACTATACCTATCACACCCTTATATGTTATATTCATATACCCTACCTACACGGGGGGCACAAAAAAGTCATCTCGCGCCGCACGCCTCACCCACTCCCATGACGCGACGACGCTCCTTTCCGCCCAGCGCCCCCCACGCACCCAGCAGGAAGTGATATGAGTACCAGGGCGAAGATACCGCAAGATCTTCTCTATACAGCCAGCGACCCGCGCTCTGCCCCCGCCATTTCACCTTCATGCTACACCACAATATGAATTGTCGATTCTCCAGTCGCTGCCTGAGTGGAGAACGCCTTGTGGAATTCAGGTGGCCTCCAAACAGCTGCGGAAAGCTTCCTTGAATGGAATCACCCATAGGATTCCGCTACCTGGAGACCAGTACTCTTAATTCTGCAAGACCTCTGAACATCTGAGCAGCTTCCGCGAACGGCTCGCTACGGTCAGGACATCCATCTTCACCACCCCATCTCCACCCCGCCCCGCGCGGGTTGATGGTGTCCGCGCACCCCGGCCCGTCAGCCTCCGAACTCGCATGAACCCAATAACCTTCCCTTCTCGCCCCTTGTACGCACACCCCCGCCCCCACTCGCCAACGCTCGCAGCGCTGCGCGCGCTCTACCCCTCAACGTCAACTCGAGAAGATATCCTCCGCCTCAACATGCTCGCTCCGCCCGTAATCTCCTTCCGCGCTCAGCACCCTTCGCTGCCTGGCTCACACACGCGCTCTCCGGGCTGACCTCCACACACTGCGACCCTCGAACGCGGCTTTCTCGCACACACACCCCTCCCCCGCCCCCTACCTCCTCGAATGGCCGCAAGCCCCGCCCCTCATCCGTCATCCTCGATCGACCCCCACTCGTACCCCCCATCACTTCCCACACAGTCATGCCCCCCCCTCGACCTCACAACCACTCAATATACCCCTCGCTCCCGAGCGCCGCAGCTCTCACCCCGTCGCCGCTCTACCACCCTGGCCGCGCACAATCCCGCACTCCTCTCGACCACCCTCGGTACCCCCCCCCTCCCCCCCCCCCACCCGCCCCCTGCACTCACTTTCGCGCGGCCAATCTCCTCGATGGCGCTCCTTCCAGAAGGTCCTGTGGCGGAGTAATAATGAGCTTATAGTATTTAATTACGCTTTTAAATATGTCTAGTTAAAATGTTCCGATAGAAAATTTAATGCATTGTAAGCTTATAGCGCCTGAAAGTCATGGAGGAAATGACTTTTTTTTTTGGCCCCCCCCCTGTCTATATATATATAATATATATAATAATCTATATATATATATATATATATATATATATATATGATATATTATATATATATATATATATATATACGACCCCACATATATATTCGCTTTGTTTGTTTGTTTGTGAGTTTGTAAGTTTGTCTGTCCCGGAAATTCGGTTCGACCTGAGAAACGACTTGGAGAGGTCAGTCAAGGTGGGGATAGGTAGGGCATTGGACAAGAAATAAAAAGCACACTTGACCTATGGGAACCCCGCCACACGTGCGGCGGGACACTCGCCGAAAGTTGGGGTTCGCAGAAAAATGTTCATAATTCGCTTCCGGGCAGCGTAAGATCGGGAAAAAGGGAATACGGTTAGTAAGCGAGTCGCCAGACTAACTGTGGCAGACACCATCCAAAATGGGCGGCTCGACTCAAGGTGGGCGGTGCTTCGCATAAAACTCAGTAACTCGGTTCGCGAGAGTGTTCAGAGGCCGCAAACACGCTCATGCTGAATGTAAAATATCTGGCGAGTATTGGGCACACTCAAAATGTGTTGAGATTCGCCCACAGTGGCGGAGCTTGCCCTAAATCGCAGGGTATTCATTTTAAAGTTTGTAGCTCGGTTCCGGAGCACTGCAAAGGCCGGAAAAAGTGCGTCAAGGTCGGCAAAGGTTCGCCGGTAAGGACTGTCGGGCACAAACATTGTGGGCGAGTGCTTCGGTTTGGGCGGAGTTAGACGAAAAAATTTCTAAAAGTTTCAGAGCACTCCAGACACGGGAAAAAGTGGATTAAGGTCAAAGGGTTGCCGATTGAGAAATGTGGGGTATACGTGAGCGGGGCCAGCCCGAGGTGGGTGGAGCCAGACAAAAGCTCTCCAAAACACTCCCAAAACACTTCAAAGACCTGGAAAAACGTGGATTAAGGTCAGCAGAGGTCGCCGGTGAGGATTGTGGGGCACAAAAATTGGGGGCGGAGCCTGTTTCGAGGTGGGCGGAGCCAGAGCGGAAGGGTTCCAGAACACTTCAGACACCGGAATAAGCGGATTAAGGTCTGCAGAAGATCGCTGGTGAAGAGTGTGGGGCACAAAAATTTTGGGCGGGGTCTGCTCTGAGGTGGGCGGAGTCAGACGAAGAATTTGTAAAATAGCTCAAGAGTACTTCAGACACCGGAGAAAAGTGGAGTACAGAACAAAAGGCGGATATCAGTTGAGTCTAGAAATATGTGAGAGAAGGTACGCGCGGCCAAGCCGCGCCCGGGCCGTATCAGAAACAGCGGCGCCGGCGTAAGCCGGCGAGGCGACTGGTACATACATAAAATTGGCGGGAAAGTTTTGTCACTTATTTTTGAACCTTGCTCATTGGCATAGGGGGTAATCGGTAATGTAAGCTCTTGTACAACAGGAAGTGGTCTCTCTGTTAGTACTACTCGCTTGCCTCTTGCTCCTTCTTCTGCAATATGCACAAAGATTTTATCCGCTACCATCAGCCCCGACCCATTGAACAACTTCCACAAACTATTTCACCTACCACCCTGACGCCAGCCTGCTAGCTGCAGATGCCAAATTGATGGAGCTGAATGAGCACGATGCCCCCAACCATCGAGCAACCTAACCACGACAGCGACTCTTCAAGGCGGGAGCCTAGGGAGCCAACAGTTTTGATGACGAAGTGAGATTTGGGTTACCTGCAAACTCAGCTTGAGGGAGCTATGGGTCGGGAAACTGCTGGAAGAAGAAGCTGCTTCCTTGGTTAAGGCGTACGCAAAGCAGCTACGAGATCTAAGGCGTATCGTGGATCGGAGGGAAATTTGTCCGCACAGCCGGCCCTCACCAAGAGAGTGCAACGCACTTGGTCCAAAAAAGTTCGAGCGGTACCTCATGCAATGGAGCTGATCTCTCTCCCCTCGCACTTGTGTAGCACAGACATCGCCCCTTCTAATAGCATAGCACAGACATCGCCCCTTCTAATAGCAAGCTGCCTTCCGTAATCGATCGTTATGCGGACGAGAAAACCTCCATAACCCAAGTTTAAGTCGAAGTTGAGATGGTATCCAACTTTGCGTCGTGTCCCCCTGCATAGTGAAGCGATGGCATCCATGAGGTGCTTAAGCAGTGGCAAGGACGCAGTTAATTGCTGTACAATTTTTATCTTACACTCCTCTCTATAAAAAGAAAGCCTAGTTTGAAAAAATGTGACAGAACTATCTGCACGGAGTTGAAATTGTGTGTTGGACGACGTTCACCTTCATGTTGGGAGATGCCTCTTTTTTATACCACATTGTGCTGATGAGGTCGTACGAGATTTTGACTTTCGTGTTTGGAAATGGAGAAAACCATCGTGCGATGGTCCTTCGATGTTGATTGTGGCAGACCGAATTCAGTTTACCAAACGCCTCTCGCAACGCTGTTCGTGTGTGTCCGATGATGAAGATGTCATCGTGTCTCGTCCGAAATATAATATAATTGGCGATAAAGCCGATCCATGAACATTGCGCGTGACGGAGCTAGTCTGCTCTCCATGGCAAGTCCTTGTCTCTGCTTATAGAGCCGATTCCGGAAATGGAAGATGTTCACATACACCACACCTTGCAGATCCTTGATATCGAGATTGAGAAGCTGAAGGCTTGACGCTGTAGACGAATAAGATGTGTGCTTCCACATCCCCTCGTGTTAACGTTTATGTATAGGGCTACAACGTCGAAACTCTGACACGTCAAGCGTCACACAGTCGTAGTCGCTCAGAAATTGTGCAACGTTTTTTTAGGTGAGACGGAACATATGATGGCAGAGAACAGAGGATCGATGTAAAAATCAACTGTTTCGATTTGTCAGTCCTTCACAAGATGCCACTATGGGCCTCTTTTTTATATATAAATTGTCCAAGGCACTAGCGTTCTCGCTCCTTACCAACTTATGCGTTTTGACTAATTGGCAATAAGTTGGTATGCTTGTGGATTTCGACAGTATTTGAATCAGGAGACTTCTCTCGGCCTTAGAGCCGAGAGTTCTCGTTGCGACATCTATATGCTCGCACTCACGCTTGTAATTATTCGATGCAGGTTGATTCATTGCATCGCTGGGCCAAAACGAGATCTCCTTGCACATCGATGCTTTCGAAGTCGTCTCTATTGATTCGTGAACATTTTTCTGCCAACGAAACAATCATTTGTAAGGCTATTTTCTCATGCTCATATCGAATAGCTCCAGATAATTTTCCACAATTGATAACTAAAGCCGATTTTCGGTTTGCGCCATGTTTTTCGATAGTGTATGGATCATAGGTCATACATATCTTTATGCAGAAGATTCCATAATGATGCTCGAGGAGTCCGCAAAAATTGCTGACACTTTTCCGACAACCTGATGATATGATTCGGGATTAATACAAACTTGTAGGAAAGAGTAGAAGAAAAAGGGAAAGCACACGAATGATTACCGGAGCTGCTTCAAGAATGTGGCACTCGTTTGATTTGGGGCATCGCTTTGGGCCAACGGGGATTCGATGGGAGGCGTGACTGCAACCAGCTTGACCATATGAGCTTCTATAGTATCACTCGTTGTTGAACGACTTTCTGATCCTTAGCACTGCCTTCGATTCTTGCTTCAATTCCCAAGGTAGATTTCAATCTGTTTTGCCTTCTTTAGCGTTCGTCTAGCTCTGGCGCAACCCGCAAAATTTCTGCAATGATCGACAGGAAGTTCAGCATTTTCACGAGGAAGAAAAGTTCGCCGAATCAAGATAAGAACGGTGGTATCACTGGCGTTCATGGGAGTGCGTTGAAAGAGGTTGAGGTAAGACTACATTCGAATATTTCAGGCTGCCGTTTCAGAGCGCTAGAAACAAAGTATGAGGTAGTTTCACTGTGTTGTTATATGATGTCTGGGTGGGGGACAGCAAAAGTCGGTGATGTTATTCATCACAAAGTAGTTCACACCAGAATTAGCTGAGATGATCATATATTGGAGATAATGTAAAGAATAAGGCGGCACTGCGGGTCTACGAATTGTTGGAATAACTTCTTTTGCCCCCACCCCCCCCCCTTTTTTTCATTCAAATCAGTCCGCTTGTTGCAGAAAAGAACTTTGACGAAGTCGATGACTTTGATCACGCTGGCATGTTAGTGAAGCGGCTACTGTTGAAGTAGTTTTGCTAGGCATACATTGGAACAGCGCTCCATGCAACCACAGCGAATTTCACTTATGGCTTATATGACGTTTTAAAGACACAACGTACGCTCGTGCGTCCTTCACATATCCGGGGTTAGCGAGCCCCTAGCTGTTGAAGCATAGCAGTTTCCCCGTCGAACACGCGCAGGGATGGCTATCCAGTACCGTGAGATGGGCTAATTCTTCCATGCTCTGCTTAGAGTGCAACTGCGGCGCAGACATGGTGAATGCCGCTGCAATCCCGGTCCCGTTTATACTGACCACCATCTGCGCGGCGCGTGTCGCGTGCAGCGCTCCTGGCACCATGCAAGTCTTGTAAGTGCCCTTTCGAATACAATTAAAACACAAACTCCTAATGCGGATAACACGTGAGGTGTTGCTCATGTTGCAACGTCCGAATCGAACATGAGCAATACCTCGAAGGCCAGAATTGAAGAGCAACTGGTGTAGGTGTATATAATGTGAATAAAAAATTCAAAAAAAATGTAAGTTAATTAAGAACCCCTGCAAATTTGTGCAATTTGGCGCGATTCCGGCTCCGAAGCCATGAAGTGCCTTTGAGTTAATGGGTAGGACAGTTAGGCTGTTCTTTGTTCTTTAGTTTTTCATGCTTGGTGGGAATGAGCGGCTTCTGTGGGAGTGTTATCTGCATCAAGAGTTTGCGTTTTGATTGTATTCGAACGCGCATTTACAAGATTTGGCCAAGCGCCAGGAGCGCTGCTCGCGACACGCGCCGTGTGGTCAGTACAAACGGGATTGGGGACCTGTAGCGGCGTTCAGCATTTTCGCAGCATGAAGGAATAAGCCTTTCCCACGGTCTTGATCCCCAGCCCCGCGCATGTTTGGATGGGGAAACCGCTACGCTTCGACAGCTACGGCTCGTTAGCCCCGGACATGCCAAGGACGCACGAGCCTACGTTGTGTCTTCAAGCAGTTTCATTTTTCTAAGAACAGCAGAATGCCAACAACACCTCAAAACAGTTTAAAACTTCTAGGCGCGAACTTCTAAGCTGCGCAATAGCCGGTTGTTATTGAGTCGGGTATCCTGTTTCTTACCATCTGCAAGGTGAATGGGTCCACAGCTGCAATAGCGGGCACTTTTTCCAGTCAAAAGTGCATGGGAACGGGAGCTGGAGGGTGGTGACACACGGGAGCCGTCTCCCCAACGCGCAGGCCACACTCTCCCTGACCATAAGCGCGTTGTTTCTCTACCCCTTCTAAGTCTTTTTTTTTGCTTGTTCTCTACCGCTGACTGTGCGTTCGCTGCTGGACTTTGGTATAAACGCAAAAGCTGCACCTTCAGGATGGAGTCAGGAAACAGCACAGGGTATCATTGCTCTCCAGCCTCTTTCTTGTGCACTTTAGAGCAGAGAAAGTTGTGGGCCACCACAGCCGCAGTTCCTTTCATCTTGCGCATGGAAAGGACCGGTGGATTCTGTGTTTGCAGATATTTCCGGCTGGTTACAGGGTAGTACGGCAGTTCTCTAACCATAATTTTGACGACGTTCTGTGAAATATCATATGTTGTTGCTTTCACAACAGTATTGGTTTTATTATAGCAATTTTTTAAGTCAGGTGAATGCTCTCCAATGAACGAGGTGCAATTCCGGCTCCCAAGTGATCGACGCATTTCGTCACCATCTGGAGACTCTGGTTAGTTTTGGCTTCATCGGCTTTATCTTGACTTTCTTGTTGTTGCTGTTTGGTAGGTTTGATAAATATAGGTTCACGGGCAGAGAACAAACTCTCTTCTGTAGAACTGCTAAAACAATTTCTATAAGTCCCAACAGCGACCATATTTCTCCTCCGCGTACTTTTTTTGATAGGTCACGTCGGAAAACTGTGTGACCCCACACACAGATAGAGGAAAGCTATAGCCAAAACACCAAAGGGTGGAATGGACATGCAGCGTGCCGAGTGTAGGAGCCTTTTTGAATGTGAAGAATGAAGGGTGGATGAGCCTCTTATAATGTGTGAAAAGTTGGGATGGATGTATGTGGTTACAAAGGTCGTAGGTCATGCAAACGAGAGAGCAAAGAGAAAAGCAGAATACCGACGTCATGGAAGGAAATTTATAAGAGTGTCCCACTTTCCCAGATTCACAGGAAGTGACGAAGGTGCTGCGGCTCTCACAAATGGCTGCTCTGACGGATCCTTAGTTTCTCTGTCAAGCGAAGGCTACTTTCTCTCACAAATGAAATTTTTGCACCATCTTTTTCGTTTTTTTTTCACTGAGCATTGGATGACACGAAGAAACGACCAGCGAACCAGAGGCGGCTGGGAATCGCTTCGATGGAATGAAACAAACAGGTCCGTACAACTCGTGCAGTTAGGCTGCGAGGGGTTCTTGCGGTGTTCTGCATGATTTTTTTTTGCCCTTTCTTGGAGGGTCACTTAGCGACTGTGGATTCGTTATTAACCACCACCCACTATTTGCATTTGCGAGGTTCATCTTGAAAGAGTATCTAGAATCATTGACGTCAACTCTGCGAAATTGGTTTTCCAGATGTCGCCGATGATGAGATGTTTCCTGATAATTTTGCTAGACTGTTTGGAAGTGACTATAGAACTTCACTTATCCCAGATTAAGCGCATTGAAAATACTTTTCGAAAATATACTGTTCGTTGAGACAGAATTGTGAAGAAGAGCGCGATACGACTCACCTGTACCGTGTTGACGATCATTGAAATCTGGCCCTCCTTGCAATGCAAAGAATAGCGAATTGTGTATCGTTAGAGAGAAATCGAAAGGAAGGGTAAAACCACCTTGAGAAGCCTAACGCGTCGTGCAATGAACTGAATGAGACTAAATGACCCCCTCCCGTAACCTGTCGTGCACCGAAAGAAGAACATCCCACTGCTATAAGGGAAGGGTGCTTAACTTTGTTGCGCGGAAAAGCTTTAAGAATAAGGGCAAGCCTTTGAAGATTGTAAGCTTCAGGGCAGGGGCTTGCATCCCACTTTCAATGGGAATGGTAGTGACTTTAAGATGTAGTATGGCCCATACAGCCATACAATAAGGTGTGGGGCCAATCTATGTACAGTTCAGTGTACTTACCCTCGCAGGCAAGTCTGGTACCAACTGTCTATATCAGAGGGATGAAGGTTGGCTGGCTCGGTCGGCATCTGACCCTCGGACCACGCTCTTATTAGGCGGCGTCGCTCACTTCTACACCGCCTCGACTCTGTCAAATTATCGATATTAGTCTATTATTATTAGGTTGTCCGAAAAGTTCGTGACCTTTTACTAAATCTCGTATCAGATCTTTCATCAACTATTTCCAGATCGAGTTATGTGGTCAATGGGAAGAGTTAAGAGAGCATCTCACAGTTGCTTTAGTCCCTCGCAGTCGATGTTCTCATATAAAAACCAGTAGATTAGATTAATCATTTTCTCACACTTCGCTATATGAATTGTCACCAAGTCACAAGCTGGTAGCAGCCACACGTGGCAATTGCTCTGAGTTAGGTCCTGATGCTACGGCGCGTTCAAACTTCGCGACGGCGGCGCGCTTCGGCCGCGCGTTCGGCCGATCGATCGCGTCGCATGGCAGCGTGATCGATCACGTCGCTAGTGGTAGCGGCCAGTTGTGTAGCGCGACTGATTCGATCGCGCTCCAATGCAAAAATCGACTGGACCGATGCTAATTTACAGCCATTTTCGGTTTTGCTTATTTCTCCCACTGTTTGCTTCTCGCTTGTTTGTTCCTCCTGGCACTATTATTTCTAATCTGTTTCTAATGTTCGTCGGTTATTATGCTTTTTACCCTTGACATAATGAAATTTTTCAGATGCATTGGAATTTTTCGGATGGACGGCCGCGTTCAGCGCGTGAACTTTTCTTGTTTTCGAGGAGGGTTTTTCAGGTTCCCTGCAGTTTTGGTTATCTTTGACTCTCATCAATCATATTGTGTTTAGCTTGGTCGCAGTTCAGCAGTTCAGTAGAAACCTTCACCTGCACGGTAAGTAGTTTCTCTTTGCTTCTATTTTCTAATTGTGTAGAGGATTGTGAAGAGAATATAGTAAACTCAAACATAACCAGGACACTACACAATCAGAAAATACTCTGGTGTGCAAAACTTAGGGACGAGATGGATAAAGTAACATAAAACATTAATGACTGGGTGGAAGTAAATGAAAGTGTGGGAGCATGTTGCCACTCGCTCATGGGATATGCACAGAAAGCTAGACTCTTCTCGGTGGAAGAAGAGCTTGAATAAAGTGCCAAATATGGTCGACCGCGCAACTCGAGGCAGTCTATGGGTATGAAAAAAAATTTTCTCAATCAACGAGTAGCTGCAGAGAACTATGGTAGTATCCTTCGATACATCATGTCCCGAAGAGAGTATCTGGATGACTTCACTTGAGGAAGGATCATAGGGAAACTCGAAGAAGGTCGAACCATGACGAGTGTAGCCCAGGAGTTCGGTATCGCTCACAGGTTGTTTCACGTGCATGGAGAGCGTTCCGAACCTTTAGTACTGCTGCTTCAAGACGAGGAGGTGACCGACCAAGGACAACTACACCAAAGGACGACCGCTACATTGTGCAGCAGGCAAGAAGAGATCCTCGTCAGTCGGCGTCGGCTATTGCAGCGACGTTTAACAGGACTCTAGGGCAAGCCATCTCACCCGCTACAGTGGCAAGACGACTGCTCGGTGGTGGTCTCTTCTCCCGACGACCGTTACGTTGTGTTCCTTTGACCCCCGCGCATCGGCGAGACCGTTTACGGTGGTGCCAGGAGCATGGCGAATGGACCGATGAGGAATGGAGCCGTATGCTATTTTCGAATGAGAGCAGGTTCAGTCTGAACAGTGATTTTGGACGCACCCTCATATGGCAAGAGGTGGGAACACGCAACTCCCCCGGAAACATTGTCGAACGTGATCGTACTGGTGGTCGAGGTTTTATGCTATGGGGAGGCATCATGTTGCATGGCCGTACTGAACTCCAGATTTTTTAGCATGGAACCCTCACCAGTCAGCGTTACTGCGACGACGCTCTCCTACATCATGTCCGTCTTTTCAGAGCTGCAATCGGCCTTGACTTCATTTTCATGGATGACAATGCGCGACCGCATCGAACAGCACAGGTGGAGGAGCTTCTAGAAGGAGAGGATATCCGGCGAATGAAGTGGCCCGCCCGTTCCCCCGACCTAAAACCCATCGAGCACGTGTGGGATGCATTGGTTAGACGCATTGCAGCACGACCAAATGCACCAGTGACGATCCAGCAATTGTCAAATGCACTGATTGAGGGGTGGGATGCCTGCCCCAGGAACTCATAACCAACCTCGTGGAGATTATGGGATAGCGGTGCAGAGCATGTATTGCTGTCCGTGGTGATCACACACCCTATTAGAGTCCGTATAACTTCTTTTGTAGTACCAGCATAAATCGTGAAAACTTATGTGTAATCGACATGGTTGAATAAAAATGTCATAACAATTCGTCTTATTCCGAGTTTCTGTCAGTTGCTTTCTGTACAATACCGTTGGGGTTCTCTCTTGATATGATATGAATTTCATCGAGCTATGTTGTCTGGCAGAGGCACAGTGATCGGAAGTTGCTCTCGTCCCTAAGTTTTGCACACCAGTGTAGGAACAAAGAGAAACTACTTACCGTGCAGGTGAAGATTTCTACTGAACTGCTGAACTGCCGACCAAGCTAAACTCAATATGATTGATGAGAACTGAAAAGATCAAAACTGCAGGGAACCTGAAAAACCCACCTAAAAACAAGAAAAGTTCGCGCGCTGAACACGGCCGTCCATCCAAAAAATTTTAATGCATCTGGGAAATTTCACTATGTCAAAGGTAAACAGCATAATAACCGACAAACATTAGAAACAGATTAGAAATAATAGTGCCAGGAGGAGGAAGAAACAAGCTAGAAGCAAACGGGAGGAGAAAGAAGCAAAAAGTAATCGAAAATGGCTGTAAGTCAGCATCCTTACTTCCACAAGGAAGTATTAAAGTTCGGTCGAAAGTTTTCTCATGAGTTCCCCCTCTCGCCATGAAAACTGGTTAAACAACCACTGTGACTGGATAAGGAGTGGGTGTCTTTGGGTGAGCCCCTCCCGGAAGCGCCAGTGGCTAGCTCCTACAGGAATGTCAGAACCGGTCTCAATATCATCGTGTTATCTCATCAATACAGTAGAAAGTTTACCGCGAAGGGTTTTTTCTTCTCAGTGTTTTGGTAACCAGCGACTCCTCGTGTAAATAACTGCGAAGAGAGGGTGAAAATCCCTATTATTTGGTCTTACAACCTAACAATGTTTGCAGACTCCAGCACAGATCAGGGTCACACATTTCGAAAATGACGCTGCTCGAGATCTTGAAGCTCAGGTGGTAAATTCTACTGCTGTCCTCTTATAGCCCTGACTTACTTCTTTCTGAGTGCCACCTGAACTACTCCCTCAGTGGCAACCTTCTGAGTGAAGAATACGATTTCCAAAAACACCTCAAAGATGAGCCAGCTGCTTTTCTCGGCAAGAAACCAAAACGTTTCTGGAAGAAAGGCATCCACTCCTTGCTTGATGGTTGGCAAAATGTTGCCGGTAAAGGTACTGTATACTTTGTTGATCAAAATTGCTTCTCTCTGGAATAAAGTTGACTCGAAAGAAAAGCTCGAAAACGTCACGATTTTTTGAGAAAACCTAACACATGGATCTGTTATACACTGCTCCAGCAACTTTCTGTTCTTTTCACATACTCTCATTTCCGAGGTATGGAATTTACCTGCTAGAGTAGTGGCTGGTCGGAGTGCTAAATGGGGATACTGTTATTGGCCTCATTTCTTCTGTTTTTTTATTCAGTTACAATTTAAGAGTGTAAAAAGAAAAGCAGTGCTGAAGACGACTTCGAAATCGCTGCAAAGAAGAGCCTCAGCTTGCGAAATCGGAAGCTTTCGTTTTTCGGATCGATCAAGGTGAATGGCAACCCCTCGAAAACTTCAGTTCTAAAGAATCTCGGTGATATTTGTACATAAGGGATGAGCCGGTAAAACCAAATCGTTGCAGAGTGGTGGCTCTGGTGAGACCATTGCGCAGAATAACGGACAAATTTACACGAAGACGGCTTTTTATAAGGTCTGAACGTTCTCTGTTTCACCTAGATTTGAAAAAAGAAACTCTCAGCTGGGATTATTAAGGGCATAATGGTTGCGATAAAGAAGTTAAACATCGATCAGAAAAAATACCCAAAGGTGGATTTGTCACGAGCGCAGCTGATGGAACTGAAGAAAATGAAGGACCTCCAGCATGACCACATCACGAGGTATGAGAACGTAGCCTGAATAATGTGTCATGCCAGTCTTACAGTTAGAGGCTGTTATGGTTCAGGTTCACTGGCGCATGTCTGGATGCTCCACACTGGTGCATAGTGACTGAATATTGCCCTAAAGGCTCGTTGGAAGACATCCTCGAAAATGATCAGATCAAGTTGGATAACATGATGAAATACTCGTTATTGCACGATCTGGTCAAGGTAAACCTTCCATTGATGGCTTTGCTGGGCGTAGTGTGTAGCGGTCAAATAGGCAAGGAAAGCACACCTTCCATTTTGAGAAGATTTTTTGAATTTTCGGATTTCATGATCTATATTTAGGGTCTTTATTTTTTACACAACAGTGAGATCCGGTCACATGGTCGTTTGAAGTCATCAAACTGTGTTGTGGATAGTCGATTCGTCCTCAAAGTAAATAGTTTAGTGGAACAATTGAGTTTATGCTTTCTTAACTTATTTACGAGGGTTCCAGTCATTTTCTGACAGAGATCCTTGCTTTTCACGTGTTTGAGTGTTCTGTGGCTCACCAGTTCTTTTTGAGACATGCTTCATATTCAAAGAAATTGCTTGGAAGAATTAAGGAAATTTTTTTGCTTCTTCTCACTTATTCTTACGAATTATTTTTCTGCATTGAACTGAATCGTTTAGGTGACTGATTTCGGTTTGCACGGCCTCCATGCCATGGAAGAGAACACCATCGATGACATAGGAGAGCATGCCTTCTATAAAAGTAAGACAAACTTCTTCATTCCCTTCTTCTTTGCTGCAACAGCTACTCGAGATGATAAAATAAGAAGGCATCCTCAGTAACCTGACTCGGAGAGAAATGTAGTGCGAGCTCCACTCACCCGGTGGATAGTTCGAGTCTAGTGTATTCTTTCCTTATTCGAAGGAAGTCCTCGATTACCCGACCTGCACGACCCTTCGTTGCACAAGTGACGCGTCAGCAATCGTAGAGCAGTTCCACTTTTTGACTCAAAAGTACATGATGAAAGCTTCAAGGTGTAGTGTCTTAATAGGAAGGGTGGCTCTTTTCGATTCTTTGGGATATTGTGGCTCCCGCAGAGTTCTTCTGTGTAAGCTATTTTGGGCTCACAAGGATTTATTCACCTCAGTCAAGGTGTTCGTGGTAGAATAAATAGCGGTAGAATGCACACGTATCTGGGCATGCCTCCTTATGTCAGTGAGGTCACGCTCAACAAATGTTATGCAGCAACAATCATCAAAGTGTGACGGTAATTCCGATGGCTATCTATATTACTTCAAAGAGAGTACTTCTGTTGGATTACCAGAACACTCCGCGGGCATGGCAGAAAAATCAGAGCACCAAATATGGATTCCAAATCCATGATAAGCATTGATAATCAGGAAAGATTACAAGTTATATTAGCATGGGTACACACTTTGGTAGAAGTTCATAATCGCCTGAGTGGGTTTGTGAGTGAATGACAGCATGGTGATTGCCGTGAAGGCTGGGTGGTCCTGTTGTGCACTACTAAAGTTTGAGGTGAAAAAGTGCTGGAACGAGAGAACAGGTGAATTGCACAATTACAAGCTGGGCGAGTGAACGGTAAGCTAATGTACATCACTACTGCACGCGAGTCTGATGCGCGACATATAGTATTTGCTTGGGATTGTACTCATGCAGAATAATGCAGTTTCTTCTTTTTAACTGGCAGTTACCAGCACTTTTATAAGCAAAGTGCTCCTCAGTTTTGAGATATCTTTCTCTTCTATCAAGTTATCTGGGAGCTGGCGCTTACGTGTGACTTTCGTTGATTGTCCCGTGTTAACGAGAAACTGCTGATGAGTTTGGATCACGACCCCTGGGTTTGCTTCGCCAGTAATCGCACTGCTACTGCTCTTAGGGGAGAGTAGGGACCATGGGCGATGTATGTGACATTAGGCCTTTAGTACTATTGATTGTATTGTCCTCTTCTCCTTTCCTCTCTTGCTCGACGTTTGAGTCTTTGGACAGGCATCTTTTACTTTGTGACGGCAACAAGTACTCGTATATCATCGTCATAGCGTAAGATACAGCTGGAAATCTGTTCACTTCTGCCTTGTCGTTATCTGTTGGTAGTGGTCGCCGCGGCCATAAAGTGTAGGACCAAATAACGTTTTTGCAATGTGTAGACCAGACGGAGTACATACATCCTACTATATATAATCCGCTATGTGGTCTGTGTGTGTGTGTATCTGTGGTGTGGTGGTGTGTGTGTGTGTGGTGTCACGAAATTCATAGCGAGTGCTCGGGCAGAAAAGATAGTATGGAGCACGTTCCAAGAAGCTGTATACATGGGCAGGCCGGAACACTTTTATGGTGGGTGTCAGGAGGTGATAACACTTGATAAGATTACGATAAGGGGCCGTAGAAGGGAGGGTGACTGGATTCGTAGCGGCAAGTTGCAGCAGGTGTGGGACCGTGATTCGAGGAGTGATATACATGGCAGGACGGGAACACTTTTGATGGGTGAAGGAGGTGATAACACTTGATAAGATTCGATAAGGGCCTTAGAAGGGGGGTGGCCAACACGTAGCGCAAAGTGCAGCGGCTGCGGGACCGTGATTTCAAGAATGATTATACATGGCTGGGCGGGAGCACTTTTGATGGGTGACAGTAGGTGATGACACTTGATAAGATTCGATAAGGGAGAAGGGGGGGGGTGACCGAAATCGTAGCGCAGTTCTCAGCAGTGCGGGACCGTGACTTCAAGGAGTGATATACATGGCAGACGGGAACACTTTCGTGGATGACAGGAGGTGATAACACTTGATAAGATCGATAAGGGGCCTTAAAAGGGGAGAGTGCCGAATTCGTGGCAAGTTGCGAGCAACGGCGGGATCATGATTTCAAGTACTGATATGCCGTAGGGTGGGGCTGGCAGAAGCTGATAACAGTTGATAAGATCGATAGGGGCCTCGGAAGAGGAGGGTCATCAAATTCGTGGCGCAGGTTGCAGCAACAGTGGGACTCAGATCCGTGAGAGTGATATAGGGTGTGAGACGGTAACTTTATCGGCGGGCAACAGAAAGTGATAATAGTTGATAAGATACGCGTAAGCGGCCTGGAAGGAGAGGGTCAGTCAGATTCGTAACGCAGGTTACAGCAAACAGTGGGACCTCTGATCGAGAGGCGATACAGGTTGATATGATAGGATACGGACGGAGTGTATTGCGGGTACGGAAGTGATAGGAGCTAAAATTGACAAGGTAGCATGGGAAAATCCGCTTCACCGCTCACAACATCATGCGCATCGATTATGACTCAAGGATATAATGATCTCAGTGATTCAACAGAAACTCTTTTCCTCCCCAATGTTAATTAGTTGACATCGTGCATACGACGGCTAAGCCAGCTCTATTCCAAATGCATGTGGTTTGTTATCAGCGATGTTATGAAACGCAGCACAACTGACTTTATCACTCTTACCACATTATCTTCCATCAGCAACTTCTAGTGAGGGCCATTTAAAGGGTTCTCTGCTGAATGCGGTAGTGCATTCCAAAGCAAGACGCTTTAGGAAGACAGATTGCATGAATTATAGGCTGCTTCAGTGGCTGTCCAAACAGGCTGCACTAAATTCCGTGTTAGGTTATGAACGTACCAGTTGGATCGTTGGCTAAGGCCTTCTTTCCTCCTTCTGTGATGCGGGGGGGCGGGGTGGGTGTCGCTGCTAGCTGCTTGACGGAACAAGCGCTGCTTTTCAGTTCTTGGCTGATGCAGAAGATTCCTTTGACAGTGTGGTTGGTCAACGATCCTCAACTTAGCACGCGCCAAATCCGCATTGGCCGGCGAGCCGGGCCATGTCACAGAAGGAGGAGCGCCCGGCGACAGCCGGGGCGATCCGACTGGTTGTCATATTGGTTGTGACAAAGTTAATATCGGCGATCGAAACCCACAATTAGTGTGGTACTTGTCTCTTTGCCTCAGATAAATTGTGAGTTGACTGATAAATTTCCTCTCTTTTCCTTCTCTCTCTTGTGGCCGTCGTGATCATAGCGAAGGGAACCCATCCATAGATCCCTCTGTTTGGACCAGTTCATTGATTTCTCTGTCGTGAGCGGTACTACTCTGAGAGGTATCTGGTGACTTTCGAATGTTTTCGCTGTGTCCTCCTCCATCCCGGGCATTGTACAAGTCTCGGTCGCTATTTTTAGAAGACCAAGTCGATTAGCTAATCCCTCTTGTATCACAGTCTTCTGAAGCCCAGTGTCCAAGAAGAAAGTGCTTTCTCTTAACTATTAGACGATATCTCTTTGTTTACAGTATTGCTCGACGAAGCTGGCAGTCTGTCGCCCATATTTATTAGGTTGTTGCATAAGTTCTTGTACACGACTTTTTTGTAAATATTTCAAAAACGAACCAGCCTGGAGATTAGACGTATGCACCGTCACCATTCACTACTCCGACGCCAGCGCTCAGGCAGCTTGTCGATTCCATCCTTCCAGAACGACGGAGGCTGGACTTGAGAAGTCGTCGAGCGCCTTTCTGGACCTGATCCTTTGTTTCGAACTTTTTCAGTCCAGATAGCGCTGCAGGTGACTGAAAGCCAGTAGTCAGAAGGACCGAGCGTCAGGCTGTAGGAGGGTGGGGCGCCATCAGCCACCGCTACTTCTCCAGCTCGGCCTGTGGGTCGCCTTTGCAGTGTGAGGTCGGGCGTTGTCATGGTGGAAGTAGATTTCCGCATTCCTTCACCGAGTTACGGTCGACGTGATCTTTCAATTTCCGCCAACTGGGTCACGTGGAAGCGATGATCGCCTATCCCTTCTCCAGCAGCTTCCAGTACTCCATGCCTCTTCCGACCACCAAACAAGACAGGAGACCTTTTTGGGGTGAAGGTCGGCCTTTGAGGGTGGCTTCTGGCTGTTCTCCTTTGTCGACCCACTGCCGCTTCCTCACCAGGGTTATCGTAGAGGACCCCACTTCTCATCTCAAGCGATCATCGAGTTGAGAAAGTGAAGCCTATTTTGGAAAGTGAGGAGAGAAGTGCAGGTGGTCACCCTCCGAGTTCATAATCGGATTTCATGTGGGACCCATCGACCAAGATTTGCTACCTTGCCGAGCTTTTCTAGTCCACGTGCAACCGTCGAATGATCATAGCTAAGCATGGCCGCCATTTCTCTGGTGGTGAGGTACGAGTCCTCCTCCACGGTGGAACGTAGTACTTCCAAATCCAACTCCATCGGCCGACCCGACCTCGGAACATCTTCGAGAGAAAAGTCTCCTTTCTTAAATTTGGCGAACCAATTCTTGCATGTCATGTGAGAGATGACGTCGTCACCGTATGTATTCACCAGCTTGGTATGGGCTTCCTTTGCATTCCAGCCGAAATCGTGGAGCAAAACCAAACAGTGGCGCAGGTACGTTTTGTCACAGTGCAAATTGTGCGACATTGTGTACTGCAAATGCAAGCTCGGTAAGTGATAGCTAGTGTAATGAAAGAGTATAATGTACACGTCACGCACACTGATGACGTAATACTAACATCCATGCGAACGAAATAAGAGAGGATCAACCACGTGTATAAGAACTTATGCAACAACAATACATGCGGTGGAGTTATGGTCTGCACTTTTGCAAAAAACACACAGTGAAAGCGGTGCTCGGTTCTCTGTTTCAGAGTTCTCCGTCTTAGGTCTCCAGTGTGTTCCCACAAGAAGTTTGAAAGAAACTTCTTTCTCTGGTAAGCTATGAGATCATCAGTACTTGTATTCTTCCCAGTCGGCTCGCCGGCTGACGCCGGCGTGCCTTCTTCTGTGATACGGCCCGACTTAGCGGGGCGGGCGCGGATTCGCCGCTCTTGCCT